CGCTCGCTTGAAACTGTGACCCAAATCTCTTATATAAAGTCAAAATGCTCTTCTCTCGAACCTTCTTCACACGTGGAAGAAAAGCTCGATCCTTCTTCACAAAAGCCGTAGATCTCACCCTTCTCTCGAACCTTGCTTCACGAATCTTCTCCCAAAGTAAGATAAAATTTTTTAGGATTTTGAAGGGGGTGGCTGCTGCTCGAAACGTGAGGATGAAGAAGAAAAGAGAAGAAAGTCGGGTATACACATATATATGTACAAAACAGACCCGATCAGTCAAATCGATTACAAACAGGTCCATTCATCCCAAAATGATCACTAACTATAAAAGAACTCATTTATCATTATTTACAATAAGATTATCAAAATTTCAGGGTTTTACACTATCTCTCTTAAGTTTTTATTCACTTGGTGGAGAATTCTCTCTCTCTCTCTCTCTCAATTTTTTATTCACTTAGTGGAGAATGACATCATCTCCCATATGGACTTGTCTACCATGAGATGAGAATGAATTTTATTTTTTGTTTTTTATTGGGGTTTTACACTCTCTCTTAAGTTTTTATTCACTTGGTGGAGAATTCTCTCTCTCTCTCTCTCTCAATTTTTTATTCACTTAGTGGAGAATGACATCATCTCCCATATGGACTTGTCTACCATGAGATGAGAATGAATTTTATTTTTTGTTTTTTATCATAGAGATGTTTGAGTTAAGTTTTTTTTTCTTTTTTGAGATAATTTGACTTTGTCTTTTCTAATTTTTTTTAAAACAAAAAAGCAGAGTTTCAAAAGGTTCGCTCTATTGGGAATTTGATAATGTGTTTGAATCAAATAAAAGAACTAAAAACAAAATAGGAAACTTGAGATTAATTAAGACAATTTGTACCTTTTAAATTATTAATGTCATGGCTGAAATATTATATTATATATATATTATATTATATATATATATATATATATATATATATATATATATATATATATTATATATATATATATATATAATATATATTATCAGCCGTATTTCTGTACGCCTAATTTTTACAATTTGATGTGTTCCAACCCGCACCCATACCCGCTAACCTATGAAACCTTGATAGCATAGACATATATTTTCCTTTTTTCATATCCTTACTTTGACTTATTATGCACACGTCTTCCAACACTATGCATATCTATTCTTCTACTTTAACTTAACCTCAAAAATATTATTCATGGTACAGGTAAATACTTATTCTTGAAGTGCATTTTCTGTAATTAAAATTACTATTTTATCGTATAGTAGACCATTTCTCAGCATTGCCTAGTATTTTGTGTATGCAATGATTTATCATGTAAACATTGTTCATAAATTTTGGATCATATCTTGCCTCTATATACTACCAGTAACTTTTCAGCCCTGATCCTTGGTCCAAGGCTGAAGTAAAATTTTTTTACGCTTTGAAATACTGTTCATTCTTTTTTTTTCGGTTCTTAAATAATGAATTTAGCCTTTATTAGGCATTTTCGTAGATTTAAAATATTTTGTAGCTCTTACTATAGAAATTGATCAAGTTGTTAATTTGCGTGTATTATTTTGTTTAATTGATTTGGAACTTCACTTCTGCAAATAGTAGTTAAAAAGTTATAGTCAAGTTTCACTCTCGGCAATAGTTATATATAAAACCGTATTATCATTGGTGATAGATTTACATCAGTAAATAATACTGCAGGGCCAACATCAACGGTGCGGGCTTATACTAGTATTTAGAATTGTTTGAATTCTTACCAAAAGCAGCCCTCTTTTTCCTGGTTAGCAGTATCGATAAGCGAACAAGTACACTTGAACTCATGTGATTAATTGGTTCACTTTTATCAATTGTAGGTTGGTTAAGTATATGTATCTGTATTTGTGATGAAGAGGAAAAGGGGACGAGAGGGGAAAGAAAGAAAGAAGAAGGAGAGAGGGGGAAGGAGAAAAGAAGAGAAGAGAGAAGAAAAAGAAGGGGGAGAAGAAGAAGAAGAAGAAGAAGAAGAAAGAAGAGAGAAAAGAGGAGAGAAAGAAGGGAAGGGCGAGGGGGAGGGAGAAGAAGAGAAAAGGCAGGAAGGAGAGAAAGAGAAGAAAGAAGAAGGAGGAAGGAAGAAGAGAAAAGAAGAGAAGAAGAGAAGAGAGAAGGGGGAGAGAAGGGGGGGGGAGAGGAGGAAAAGGGAGAGAAAAGGGAGAGAGAAGAGAGAGGAAAAGAAAGGAAAAGAAGGAGAAGGAAGAGAAAGGAGAAATAAGGACGAAGAGGAAGAGGAAAGGTTAGAAAGAAGGAGAAGAAGAAAGAGAGAGGGAAGGGAAAGAAAGAGAAGAAAGAGAAAAGGGAAAGGGGGGGCAGAGAAGGGAAGGGAAGAGGAGAAAGAAAGGAGAAGAGGAGAGAGAAAAGAAGAGGGAGGAGAGAGAAGGGAAGAGAGGGAGGGAAAAGGAAGAGGGGAAGAGAGGAAAAGGGAAAAGAAGAAGGGAGGAAGAGTAGAAGAGAGAGAGAGAGGAGGAAGAGAAAGGGAAAAGAAGAGGGAAGGGAAGAAGAGGAAGAAAAGGAGGAAGAAAGGGAAGAAGAAAAGGGGAGGAGAAGAGGAGGGGAGAGGGAAAAGGAGAGGAGAAAGAGAAAAGGAAGATAGAGAAGAGAAGGAGAGAGAAAGGAGAGGGAAGGAGAGGAGGAGAGAAGAGAAAGAGAAGAGGAAGAGAAAGAGAAGAAGGAGGGGGAAAAAAGGAAAAAGAAAAGAGAGAGAGAATGAAAAGAAACGAAGGGAGGAGGAAGAGAAGGAGAGAAGAGGGAAGGGAGAAGAGATAGAGACGGAGGAAAAAGAGGGAGGGAAAGGAGAAAGGAAGAAAAGGGAGAGAGAGAAGAGGAGAGAAAGGAAGGCAGAAGGAGAAAGAGGGAAGGAGGAAAAGGGAAGGAAGGAAGAGGAAGGAAAGAAAAAGAGAGAAGGGAAGAGAAAAAAAGGAGGAAGAGGGAGAGAGAGAGGAGGGGAGAGAAGAAGAAAGAAGAAGAGGGGGAGAGAGAAATAAGAGAGAAGAAAGGGAAGGGAGGGAAGAAGAGAAAAAGAGAGAAGGCAGAAGGTAAGGGAAAGGGAAAAGAGAGAAGAGAAGGAAAGAAAAAAGGAGGGGGGAAAAGAAAGAGGGGGAGAGAAGGAAAAGAGCAGAAGGGAGTGAGAGGGCGAGAGAGAGGGGGAGTGAGGATGAGAAGGAAGGAGGGAAGAAGAGGAGAGGAAGATAAAGGAGAGAGGAGTAGGAAAAGAGGAGAAGGAGGAGAGAGAAGGAGGCAAGGAGAAAAAAAGAGAGGAAGAAAGATAGGGAGAGAAAAAGGAGGAAGAGAAGAGAAGAGAGAGAAAAAGGGAAGAAAAAAGGAGAGAGAAGAAAGAAATGGGAGGAAGATGAAGGAAAAAGAATACGAAAAGAAAGAGGGAGGAGAAGAAGGAGAAGAGAAGAAGGAGGAGAGAAGAAAAAGGAGGGAGAGAAGAAAGAGGAAAGGGAAGGAGGGGAAGGAAAAGAGAAGAAGAGGGGAGAAGGAACCAAGAGGAAGAAGAAGAGAAAAGAGAAGAAGGGAGGAAGGGGGGAAAAGGGAAGAAAGAGGGCCAGGAAGAGAAGAAAGAAAAGAAAGAGAGAAGGAGGG